GATCAACTTCACGATATCCTTAGGTAGTGCGCAAGACACTTTAAACTGACTAACTAGGACGTAAAGTTTAACACTCACAAGGGGTTGATTAGTCGAGGGTGTTGTGTCTGATGTAGAGATTCCGGGCTTCATCCTCGGTACATTAGAGGGGCGTGCAAGCTTCAAGATGTAGAATCCCTAAGCTACATCATGATGTCTACCATACAATAGAGAGTGGGTATAAGAGTATACTCACTATTACATTTTTATCAATTAGCTTAAGCATGAAATGAACACTTTTAGTATGGTTTAGTTGGTAGTGTGGCACTGGGCTAGTTAGCTCAGTGTTTAAAATTTGTTTCCTTACGCAGATTCATCGATGGAACTGTTGAGGAGCTTTTGTTCAGACTAGATCCAGACCAGATTCAGAGTAGAGTACGTCTCGAGTTCTTCTTTGAGGGTGTGTATATTTGTAAACCTTGTTTTGTATATTCGAGTCATAACTTATTTTACATGATAGTTTGTATATTTTGATTTATTATTTTGGGAGCTCCCAATTGTAAACTGATTTATATAAATGTTGTCGTTTTATTTCATGATGAATGTTCCTAAATGATTTGAGCAAGTAAAGAAAATTTTTGGTAAGCCACTCCTATGGTTCTGTGTGTCACTCTGATAGGTCGATTGTGGGTCATACTAGCTTAGGTGTTACATGATGAGTCAAATAATAGTTTATGCACCTCTTTGAGAAAAGTGGTATAGTTTGGACACTTATTTTGGTTTTAAGCCATCATTTAAATTTAATTGTAAAATTGAATCCCACTTTCACAAATAATTATAATATTGTAGAAAACATAATTTACTAAAATATTTTGTTATCATTTAAAGAATAAGTGGGTTCTCTGCTAACAGGGGTTGATTCAAGTGGTAAGCAGTTTAATATCGCTTAAGCAAGGTCTTGAGTTCGAGTCATTATGTATGTAGAAAATCTCTGCTGGGAGACTCACTCACCAAAATCAGGTGTACGACACAAGTTGATTTGAATTATTTAAGGCAAAATCTTAGAACCAAGAGATGTTCATTATGGTTTGCAGATAGGCTGGAAGCTTAAATTAGCTTATTTAGTTCCTTCCTTCTTTATTCAAAAAATAATAATAAGTGTGTCGATGAGTTGAATTAGATTTAAGTCTGAGCATGTTTTTTTTTTAAATTAATTTAAATTAATATTTATTCGATCTGAATTAAAAAATTTAAATTTTTTCTAAAAATAAATTTTTGAATAAATTTATCAACCAAGTTTGAGAATATTTAGTAAGTCGTTATGTTTGTGTCGGAAAGTTTGATTCAATCATTGAGCAACTAAATGACAAAATCAAACTTGTAATCTCAATATCAATAAAGATTGAGCGCTTAAACAAAAAAGTTACTCTCCATCAAAAAAGAAAACAAAAGCTTAAGGAAAAGACGCAAAACAATGATAGAGAGCAAACATCATTCTTTTGTTAACTTTGATGCCATTCTCCTATTTTTGACTGGTCTTTTACTACATATAAAGCAGCAGTCTTTTGAAGGATCCGAGGCATAGCAGCAGTGCTGTTTCAGGTTGGTTTCCAATTATTCGGTGATTATTTGGGTGGGTTTTGTTTTGAGAGATCCCAGAAATTATTCCCCTTACTTTCATGCAAACACATTCAATAAAAGTAAACAATAACAGCTTTATGCGTATATATCTTTGTTTCTTTTGTAGCCTGAAGACTGGAAAAGGGTAAAATTTGTGGAAACTTTGTCTCCATTTCTCTCCTTTGCCTTTATCTCTTTTATCTTTTCAAAGTTTTGAGGTCTTGGGTGTGGCAATTAGACCAAAGAGGCGAGTTACTTGCTGCTATTCACATAGTTTACTTGTTATGTTTAAATGGTTTGGTCTACTAATTACATGAGTGACCATCGAACTATGGTCATCAATCATTTTAACCACCAACGTTTAAAAACGATCAAACAGACCACTAACTGTTAATTTTTAACATATTAGAATAGAAGTACATTTGGGTGGATTCAAACCAGGGACCTGGCAAACTTTTGCCACTAGGCTAAAGCCATGTATTTGGTTCTAAAGTGCACAATCTTTTATATATTGTGTTTGTGATTACTTCACACAAACATATATATAATTAAAAAATCTAATAAATAAATTATATTTGACATATATATTAAATTATAGTCAATGTAAGACTTAAAAATAAAAATGAGTTTACCATTAAACTTATTTTTATTTTGTGATTTGGACACTCTAAATAATTTTAATATAATTTATATATTATTATTTAAAAATAGCTGTAAAAAATAATGTAAATAAAAGTATTAAACTTATTTTTTATTTTGTGATTTGGATTCTGTAAATAATTTTAATAAAATTTTATTTTAAATATAATTTACATATTATTATTATTATTGTAAAAGATACTAAACTTATTTTTATTTTGAAGTCTTACATTGACTATAGTTTAATATATATGTGAAATATAACTTATTTATTAGATTTTTTAATAATTTAACATGTATATGTATATATATATATATATATGTACACTTTTAATTCAATGGCGTCAGCCGTTAAAGCAAAGTTGAAGAATATATAAAACGAGAGTATTTTGGATAAAGCTTAATCTTATTACATAATGTCTGTATGTCGGAAATACTGCAAAATTAGTAATACTAATCGGTCAAATCAATGATATCTTGCCTCTTAGCGAAGCAACTCAAGTCTGATAACAAGGAAAGTATCCTAACCTAAAAGCTAAAAGAAAAAATAAATCAAAAGAAACTGTGTATTTGCAATGTCGAAAATTAGATTTTATTCGATATTTTTATATGTAATTCTATTTTTAATAATTAGATGATAGAAATGGATGTCCCTTTTTCCCATAAGTATGGGATAAGAGGGAGGTAAGATAGTATGCTACCCCTAATACCAGGTGGTAGAAGATATTTTTATCTAATTCTAATTACAAAATCATTACCCAGAATTCTAAAGAAAATAATAAATATAGTAAATCAGAGTTATGCTGTAATTGATTCAGACAAGTACTTTTATGTGAAGTGATATATAATAAATTCTTAAATTTAAATACTACTGTTTATCATCTTTTTAAATTCTTAAATTCTTAAATTATTAATTTCTTTTATAAAGGAAAAGCACTTTCAATCCCTTAAAAAGCAACAAATATTCCTTAAGTATGGTAATTAAAGTTGTAAAGTGGAAGTTCCTCTTGGTGATGCTAAAGTAACAACATATTTTTGCTCTAAAGATTTGGATGCTGCTTCATTGTTTTTTTATTTACAATATATATGATTGATATCTATCTTCGTATAGAATTTGATCATCCAGCCGATACTTTTCAAGGGCCGGGAATGTAAAGAAAGAAAAGTTAGATCAATTATCCATTCATGAAAAGAAGTGATCTTTGTGTACTTTTTATTTTTAATTTATGGAAGAATATGCTGCTTTTATTTTTGAAATATAATTAATACAAAAATAAGTTATACTCAAAAATGATTTTTGACGTTTAATTTTTTTTTATTGAAAATAGGTGCGTAATGCTTCTTCGTTATACTTTTAGGTGCTTATTGCAACAAAAGAAAATTGTTAAGTAACACATGTCAATTTTAGGTTCTTTAAAAAATACTTTTAAATAATATTTTACTTCAATATTTAATGATGTGTTTATTTTGATTAGTTAATACCACGCTAACAACATAATTGATTGTCAAAAATGCTTAATGAACTTTTAGATGTCTAAAATATACCTCAAATTCACTTTTGATGCTTAAAGATTTTTTCATTAAAAATAAGTACTTAATATTTTCTCTGTTACACTTTTAGGTGACTATCATTAAAAAAATTATTAAGTAGCACGTGTCACGTTCAATTTTTTTAAATATTTTAAAATAATCTTTTATTTAAAAAATATATAAACATGGATGTGTCAATTAACAATTTTGTTTAATGGTAGGTACCTAAAAGTGTAACAAATAAAACATTAGTCACCTATTTTCAACAAAAAATTCTCTAAGCACCAAAAGTCAATTTAAAGTATAATTTAGACACCTAAAAATATATTAAGCATTGTTAAAATAACAAGTTAACAATATACGTCGATTTTAATTTTTTCTAAACTCAAGTATCAATAAATTGAGAAAAAAATCAAATTCATATTATTAATATTTAATCTTATAAATATTATATATATAAAATTTTAGTGGAAAATAAAAAAATTATTAACAGGGTTTAAACGCTCGTAAATATTTTATTTATTTAAGTGGTAAAACCAATTTTGGTGTTGATTTTTTATATTCTTTTATTTTTATATTACACGTTTGATTTTCTTAAATTAGTTTTTAATAACTATATTTTTATATCACGTTTTCTTCTATCTTTTGGTATGTTTTTAATCTTTGTTGTCGATCAATTGATTGTTGTTTTTCATTTATCTTTCTTTTCTTAGGATTGGATTTGAAATCGCATCGACTGATTAAAATAACATTTATTTGTTATCTTGTTGATCATCCCTACTTTGGATGCTTAGATTGGATTTGAATACGCGATCTACTTCCGTGGATTGTTTTCTCTCGTTGCTTTACTTTGATTTGTGATTTATCGATGGTCTTTTAATACCTTTATATTTTTCATGGTTCGTTTGTAAATACACTTAGATGTGTTCGTATTTATCTTTTATTCGAGTTTTTAGTTGAGTTTTATCATTTTCCTTGTATGATCCTTGTATGATATTAAATATGGGTGTTCATTGTTAGTTAACCATGCCGTTTAGTCAAAACGGTTGGTAAACCGTTAACGATTGCTAAATTTTGTTAACCTTAACCCGACCATTAAGAAATAGTTAATTGCTAACGATTCAATTACCATTTATTTTTAAAGACAATACAATATAAAAGTTTCAAAGTTTCATAAAATTTATCACTTGATAAATTATCAAAGAAGCATAGATATATTAGGATGAAGGATCAAAGAAGCATAATTATACATTGATAATTATCAGTTGTACATTGCGAAGCCTGTCATTCCAAATCCACCCCAACCACTTGATAAAATTTAGACCATGTTAGTTTGATTCTTTCTCTCTGTCCCTCCAAACACATATACCACACAAAAAGTAAGCGACAAATTAAAGGAACAGAAAATGCAAGTAAAAAGATAAAGGAATTTTTGCCACAGAATCTGCCAACTATTCTTCATCGTCATCTTCTTCTCCTGTTACTGTTCTTTAACTCTGAAAACAATTTGGTTATCAACCCATTTCAAAATCCCAATCTCATCATCATCTTCTTTAATGTTGTCTCCAATGGCAATGTTTAAATCCAGATAAACAGATGGACCTTTATCCTGCTTCGTTTCTGATTCTTTCATCTCTTCGGGGTCACCGCAATTTGACGTTCTCCTGGAAGAACAAGCTCTCAACATTGAACTTAACCTTTCGCAGCTGAAAATGACAATGGCGTCCATTACAGGAACCGTAACACCATCCGAAACTGTCACTTTTCCGCTATCGATTGCCTGCTTAATCCTTTTCAGACAACAATAGTCAACGTGTTCCATGTCTTCCACGAAGAACACCTTATGAGGATTCTCGTTCAACGCCTCGCCGAGTCTCTGGAGGACATCGCCGCTACCCGGCTCATCCGATCTCTTCCTTTTGTTATCTTCGTTGCTTGAATCGGCCCTTTTCGATCCGAAATCGCTCAGGCTTATGGAGGCAAAGCTGGTTTGGGAACCGAAAACGAGTCTAGCTAACTCCCTTGCAATCTTCTGCTTGCCTTGGTTCTCGGATCCCAAGAAGAACATCCAAGTTTCTTCTTTGAGCTCTCTTTGGCCTTTTCTCAACCCCGACCTGCATTCAAGGACGGTGCTAACAATTTCCGGAATCACATCTTTCTGCCACGGAACCTGTTTCTCCAAAGCATTGCATAAAATGTTCATGTTCTCTGCATTAAGAACCTTGAACGCGTTAAGTCCATCGTTATCCTCCTCGATCGCCACACTCGAAGAAGCTGAATTCGGGCTAGAATTCGGATTCGAGAGGAGGTCTGGCTTCAGATCATTTTCGAATATCCAGAACTGGAGCTCTTTAGGTGACCTTTTAGATTCAAAACTGACGGGCCAACTCAGATTAAGAACTTCATCGGTGTTGCATTTCTTGTAAAGATCCTGTTAAAAAAAAAAGCAAAAGACAAATTGTTTGGATGTTTGGTTCTGAAAGTGAAGTTCAAATGAGATAACAAGAAGAATAAATAAATAAGTACCTTATCATCATGGGAAGTTTTTGTGTTGGTTTCTTCCTTGTAGCTTTGCAGCCATGAAGGTAAACTTGAACTGGAAGAGACCACGTTGTCAAAGTTGAACAATCTATCAGTGAAGGAAGTGTGATTCTTATTGACTTCTGTTTCAGCAACTGGCCAGTTAATCGAATCTGTAGATTCCTTTGTTCTGTACTGAGACTGAGAATCAAAGCTGGAATAAAGCAAAGAAAGGGAAGAAATGATTAGCATAAGTAGAACAAATGTAAAGATGAGAAAAATAAATCAAATATTCAAATCCCAATATTTCATAATAACAAATAGTTTACCTTTCAAGATGAAGACTGAGGCTTAAGCTGTCAGCTGAAATTGTAAGAGGATGAAGTTCCCAGATTGATTCAAGAGAAGGATGGCCTGTTTTACACTTCATGTAAGTTCTGAAAGTTGCAATTCCCATGAGAAACAATTTCCCACTCATTAATCTTTTGAATTCCATGATTATATGCTCAACTGGGCAATAATAGTTTTTTCTTTGGTCACCATAAGTAGACCAAAACTCCGAAATCCATTTGAGATCACCTAAGTATAAGATAACCCCTCTTCCCATATAACTCTTGACGAGGCATTTGAGCTCTACAAGCTTCTGTTCCACTTCATCTTTAGCAAGATTTTTTAGTGAAAAAAGTGGGAGACTTATGAACTGGAGGTATCTTAAATCCCCAGAGACTTGCCCTTTCTCGAACTTATCCATCACCCCTCGAACAACACTCTCGGCAATGGCGACCGACTCTCCTATGATGACTGTGTTTCCCCTCCGGTTCACTATTGTGCTGATAATATTGGTCACATCTTGGTCGTTCCTAACGTGGTCTATCGGTTTGGTCGATGAAAACCCGGGCCCGAACTGAGTCTGAGCGTTGGAATGAGACGGGTTAGCACCGAGCTGAGCTTGGGGATTGGGGTTGTTTTCCTTTGGGGAGGGAGTTTGGGAAGAGATCTCCAAGGAAACTGTTTGTTCGACTTTGGTTTTAACTTGGGTGCTAGAGAAACCAGCTTCCCTCATAACCCTACTGACACTAGGATCATCCAATATGGAGATTATGAGATGTTCTAACTCTATCTTGAGAGCTAAAATCGGTTGCTGTTGGTTCTCGATCGAGCCTCGGCGTTGGTGAGCCTGAGCGCGCTTAAAGGCGGCCACCAAGGCATTGGAGAGGGAAGGATGATGATGATGGCCAGGCGCTAATAAAGGGCTAGAAGTGGATGCAGGGAGGCGATTGAGTGCGACATTGAAACAAAACTCCAAAGCTCTGAACTGAAGAGGATGAGAGTGGGATTGAAGACAAGCTCTTTGAAGAAGACCGGTCGAAGACGCGAGCATGACACTCGCTACGTGAAGCGGAGTGACCTGCGCATGGCCTCTCCGTCGAGCAAGTCCAAGTGCTTGCTTCACCATGCTAGCAGCCTCAGCTGTTAAAGCTTGCTGCACACTGCAAACTCCAGCTCTCATCTTCTTTTCTTGTGGTTCAAGGCAACAAATTAAAAAGAAAGAAAAAAAACTACTTTGAAAGACTGGAAATCAAGAAATGAAATCAAACTCTTAGAGCTTGATCAGTTATCAACTACCAAACTAAGGCAGCAGCCATCAAGCTTTATATATATGTGATAAAGATGAAGTTACCGGGGTTTATGCTTTTCTTGTTAGTGAGGCAAAATTTTGGTCTTTTGTATGTGAAAGTGGTTTGCATGTGATTTAACTTTGCCTTTTCTTTGTTTTTAATATATAAAGTTAGGTGGATAAATCGAAAGTTGGTAGCTTTAATAGTCATTTCATTTCATATGATTTTAAAAACAATCTAAATGCTTTATTAAGAACAAAGAATGGAATAAGCACTTTTGATGTCTTTATAAAAAAATACTGAAATAAATTATAAATAAGTGATGGGTGATTTACATTGTAAAAATTATAAAGATGTAAAAATGAATAATTAGCTCTAGAAACTAGATGATGAGGAAGAAGGAAAAGGAAAGGGCAATCAGCCAATGAGGATGAGTTGAGGAAAAGAAGAGTGGACTGTGTGTCTGTTTGAAGGGGATTGGGAAATGTGGATCTTCCTTTTGCTTTCTTTTCCTTTTTATGTGAGTTTTGGATCACAAAATCATGAAATAATATTTTTTCATATAAAATAAAGTTAAAAATAATAAACTTTGAATTTTAGATCGCTGATCTGCTGGATTATTTGTTCAAATTTAAGGTTTATGTAATTATTGTTGTAAGAGGACTGTGTCTATTCATTCAATTGATGACAGAAAATTAAAATAGGGTGAAGTGCTATGAACAGGTAACAACCTAAACTAATAAATGAAATAAAAAAAGAATTAAATTAATAATGATTTTCTTAGTTATTGTTGAATCAAATTCAAAATCAATTCGACCACCAGTTTAATATTTATAATATCACATCCACTGTTAGAAAATAATTAAAAACAAAGATTGGGCTGGACAGAAATAAAGTTCACATAAAAACGAATAATGGCTTTATAAAACTTGTAATGCACAAGTAATTGAAAATCAGTATCCGTTCTCTCTCACATATAATTATTCATAGATCTTTTTTTATATTATTTCTCTCTTGTTTTTACTATAAATTCTATAATTTTATAATACATTATCACATATAGGATATATTATGATAAAAAATAATTTGTGCTGAAGGCATATCATCAGCAAGGATCGAATGCGAAGGAATGATAGGTAAATCTTCATATATATTTTCCTATTTTGCTATAGACGATCGAATTAATAAATAGATTAAGATGATTTTTTCACCTAAACCAAAATAATAGTTTTATTAAGTATGTTATCAAAATAGGTAACAAGGCACTTCATTTGGAGTCTTTGTGGCCGTGTCCGATGGCTTTCCATGGACTGGGAGATTGCCGGTACCACTAGTGTGGTTACTCGTGGACAAAGCTGGATTTAAATTAGCATATATAGCAACAATGGAGTGTTTGCTTGGGTTTAAACCTGCTCCAGGTTTTTCAAAAGCGAGGTTCTTGGAAGAGGTCGCCGGTTGAGGTCGAGCATCACGAGGAAGGATGATATTCGGTGAGATTAGTTTGAGGGGCATTACAGGGGTTTTGCAGTTTGTTGTTGATTCTTTCTCTTTAGTTTTAGCCTTGTTGTGCTGAGGAGGTTGTCGCATGGCTATAAAGGATTTTCAGTAGGCAAATTTCCTTCTCCTTCCAAATGAAGAGGTTAAAGGACGAAGTATTAATACAAATACCGACATCACCATTAGCTGGCTCGGTGTTTTTCTTAGGAGCACGTCGTTGTCGTTTCTCTACCATCATCCAAAGGCGAAAAGACTCGATTGGAACCTAATTGGGTTTGAGAATCACTGCCAGAGATTGTTTCTAGCTCAGCTAGCTTCGGACAGACATGTCCATAAATACCGCATTCAAAACAAACAGTTGGAAGAGCCTCATATTCCATTATTTGAGTTCTCCCATTGATATCGATCTTGGATACAAGGGGCTTGCGTAAATTAATATTCACTGCCATTCGAGCAAAACGTCCACGACGATCATAATCTGTTTGATAATCTATTTTAACCACAGAGTCAATTCTACTACCAGTAACTTCAATCCTACTTCGTTCGTAACAGGTAATTGGCAAACCTGGTAGGCGAACCCACGCCATGATCCTGTTGGGATACGATCGGATGGGGCAAAAAAATCAACGGACTACGATGCTCCGTCAAATAATGGCCGAAGATAGTCCAAGGGCCATCCGATAAAACTTTTAGATAATCCTGCCTGCAAGAAAACTTCACAAGGAAATAGCCATTTTCAATGTCAATTTAATTGGGTGAGAAGGCTTCCATATGTTGTAGACGCCATTGTTTTAACGTATTATATACGGCTCTGCAGCCAAGGACCTTTACTAGCAGAGTAAAATCCATGCTTTTTATTATCAAGTGTTGAATCTGATCAGAAAAATCGATGAAGGGGATCCCATCTCTCTCACCAACTCGAACGTCTTCTTCCAGTAATTCAATATCCTCGTCTTCAATGTCAATAATCAAGTCATTGGGTTGGGCAGTCAAAGTAGGAATTTGCGTCAAACCAGTCACCATGTCTTTGTAGGAGACAGAAGGCTGATTCAAGGCAGTATCGTCACAATCCATTTGTTGAGCAGGTTAGATGACGGCAGGATCAGGCGGTTCAGACGGAAGTGGTGTACGACAACAAAGTTTTTTCGAATCCTTAGAAGGCTCAAGGGATACCGAACTTTCCGGAGAGTTTTTCGAATCCATTTCTTCTTTTCTTTATTATAATCGTTTATTATCATTATCATGACTTTTACTTTTTCTATTTTACGATAGAATTTAATTCTCTTCAATTAATTAATATTTTTCTCGACTTGATTAATAAATAGATTAAGATGATTTTTCACCTAAACCAAAATAATTTCATTAGCTACATTATCAAGATAGGTAATAAGGCACTTACAAAAAAAAAAACAACAACAATAATAAAGGTTTATAAAAAAATTTAAGGTAAATTACACGCTTATTCATTGAACTTTACTCTCTCTCCTATTCCACTCACCGTACTTTCAATTTTTTTCAATTTGCTCACTGAACTTTAGACATTAAACTTTTTTAATCACTCGTTTGATGACAAGGATTATTTTCTTATTTTATCATATGATATGTCATTTTTATTAATATTTTAATATTATTTAGGATTATAATAAAAAATAAATTTAAAAATATTAAAAATATATATCTAAACCCTAAAAAATCCCACATTCAAGTTCCAATGGTGGGTGGGGTTAGCGCCATCGGTGGGTGGGTTAGTGTCGTCGATGGTTACGATCGTGGTGGCTGTCATGGTGGTCTCCGGTGGCCTTTTTGGTGTTGAATCATTGATTAAATCCAAGTAATTTTTTTTTCCCCTTTGGTGTTGAATCATTGATTTTTTCGTTGGAATTTTTGTTGTATTTGAGTTAATTCCACGGTTGTGTTGAGAGAGATGAACAAGAGAGTGAAAGGCAGAGGTGACTGGGATCGTTTGTCGGTGGGAGGGTGATCGTCGATGGGAGGAAACTTGCCAAGAGTGGTGGTGGGTGGGGTTGTAAATTGGGGATTAGGGTTTGGGATATAATTAGAGAATTTAGGTATAATTTAAGGGTATAATTGTAATTTTGAAATTTATTTTAATTTTAATCATATTTGGTAATAAAAATATTAATAAAATATGACACATCATGTGAGAAAAATAATAAAATAATCCACATCATCTTAGAGTGAGCAAAAAAAATTAGATGTCTAAAGTTTACTGAGAAAATTAAAAAAATTGAAAGTATAATGAGTAAAATAGGAGAGAAAGTAAAATTCAATGAGTAAGTGTGTAATTTACCCAAAATTTTATTTCTTTCACATAGAGTAACGGTACATATAGTTGGATTTCATTCCATTTTTATTATTTCTTTTTAAATTTTTAGTTCGGTTAATTTTGATTATTACTTTTCACACATCGAATATGAATTTTAAATTTTTTATTTTATTTAAAAAAATTCTTTTAAATATTATTTAATAATCTTTTATATTTTTTTAAAATTTATTTTTAAAATAAATAAAATATTAATAATTTATACATAAAATATATTTTCATTAAAATGAGATAAATACAAGGTAATATCTGTTTAAAGATAGATAACTCTTAACCAATTGACATTAAAAGTTCATACCCTTAGTATTTCTAATGCTCGAATATGAGACCTCAAAGAATAACAACTCATTTATCACCGAGATCACTTTGATTCATGCTTATATATAATACTTTTAAGTTATCTTCACCGTTTCAAAATATATAATAATTAAATGAAAAATAAAAATCAAATTAATTTGACTTAACGGTAATTTTTAAATTTATAAACTGTATATTGTTCAAATTTGAATAGATTTTAGATAAATTATACAAATGGTCACTAATGTTTGAGTAATTTTTTATTTTCTCCATTGACGTTTTAAAAGTTACAAATTGGTCACTAATATTATTAATTTGTAACAAAATGCAATTCATTGTCAACTCCGTTGAATTGATGATGTGATAACGTTGACAAAAATATTAATATTTAGTTTTACCACTAAACTATTGCTAAAACATCAAATATGTCCTTAAACATTGATTTTATATCTAATTTATCCATAAAACTTCTAATTTGAAAATAATACGAGCTTGGAGGAGTTATTCCCGACGTCAGGGGAGTGATTTACAGAGGGCACAATATGAACTATCATCGTCCTTGTTTCGCTTCAACCAATACCAATGTTAACAAAAAGCCTCCATTACCCCTTGCTCTACATATTGCATCAATCTCATCAATAAAAATGATATTAGGAGCACACTGTCTTGCCTCCTGAAATAAGCTTCTCTTTCTTGATGGCCCAACTCCAACAAACATGTCCATAAAATCTGACGCATACATAGAGAGGAAAGGTACGCCAGATTTACCAGCAATTACTTTTGCTTAAGTGTCTTCCCCGTGACAAGAGGAACAACAAGATGAGCACCTTTGGGATTTTATTTCCTAATTCCTCACATTTCTTTAGGTTATATAAGTAAACAAACTCCATAATTTATTTCTTTGACTCATCACAACCAGCAACATCTTCATACAAATACCTGAGATAGCAAGTCAACCAATGCAAGAATTATCACAATGTTGATGGTTTAACACATTTTGTATGAGTATGAAAACAACAATATATAATTCCAAAGAAAACTTGTAATGAAGATTTACCTTGTTATTTGAATTTTTGTTCATTTTGATAACTTGAGCTTTGCACATATTGAATATTTCACTACCACCAACTTAGAATCCATTTTGTATTTTTCTCCTCATAAACCATAAGGACTCTAAGATCAAGAGTGTGGGTCTAACTCCAAAGCGCATTAACTCTTGGAACCGGTTCACTTCACTTAACATAGGTTCGAGGAAGATGATATGAGGATCTATCCCCAATGCTTCTTGGGCTTCCCTAGCTTCTCCTCGAAAGATTCAATACCCCCATGCTAAAGTAGTATTTGTATTGACTTAACTTTGTTCGGGATTGTTCGGGAAGGGTAACTTTTTACTAGAGTTTCTGTTTCTACAACATCATCAATTGTTTGAATTGCATTGCGTGGTGAGCTCCTCACATTTGCAACTGATTTATTTGAAACAACATTTTTTCCACCAAGCCAGGTTCCAGTAGTTTGACTTTGAACTCTTGGAAACTAATATGAAGAACACACCAAACAACTTAAAGAAAAGAACTGAAGAGAGAGAACTAGAAACTAAAACAACTGTAAGAGAGATCGGAAGAAAACAAAACTTCCCCGTCGTTTCTCTCCTAAGGATTTCACTGTTTTAATGACCTATTTGATGTTTCAGCAATAGTTTAGGGGTAAAACTAAATATTAACATTTTTTGTTAACATTGCCACATCATCAATTTAACAGAATTGATGGTGGAGTGACTATTTTATTACAAATAGATAATATTAATGATCAATTTGAAATTTTTGAAACTTCAGTGAAAAAATAAAAACTTACTCAAATATTAATGACCATTTTTAATTAAATGGTTTTGGTTGCTGAGCTCAAGTTGATATTCATTCGCGCCCTATTTGTCTTGTTTATGGGTTGGGACTTGGGGCGGGTAGTTCATAAAAAAGAAAAAATTTCCCCCCAAACTTGACACCAAAACGCAGGTAATGGATAGCCTTTTGTCTCTCCCCACCTCACACTGTCACCCACCTTTGTTCACCTCAAATCCCCACACATCCTCCGCCACCACCTCCGTTTCCTTCTCACTCCAACCGCCACCTCAACCAGTCAAACCTAACCCCCGCCACTCGAAGCCCACCACTTCCCCCTAAACCTTAAATCCTTTCCAACCCCCTCAAAAACCTCTCAACTACTAGCAGTAACACCAATCTTTCTCATGTTCCTTCTCCCGGTGAAAATACAACAATCTCCCAATCTCTCATTTCCAAACTTCGCCTATCCAGCAAGCTCTTTCCCCCTCCTCCTCCACCACCACTTCTTCATGATACCCAGAAGGCAACTCAAGTTTCTGAGCCCGAAGCTCCGACCCCAGAGCCTGAAAAGCCTGAAAATTTCCGCCAACATGGGAAGATTTTCATCGGGAACCTTCCCAATTGGATTAAGAAACATGAGGTTTTTGAATTCTTCCGCCAGTTTGGTCCCATAAAGGACGTTATTCTGATCAAAGCACACAGCGAGACTCACAGAAACGCGAGTTTCGGGTTTTTCATATACGGGGGTACGCCTCCGGTAGCTGAGAAGATGAAGGGCCACTTCCTTCCCTTCGGTTACACGCAAACCTGGTTTCAGCGACTTCATACGTTGAGGCAGGACGCACGATCATCCAATGATTACACGAAGAAGTTTTTGTTCATTTTGATAACTTGAGCTTTGCCCATATTGAATATTTCACTGCCACCAACTTAGAATCCATTTGGTATTTTTCTCCCCATAAACCATAAGGACCCTAAGATCAAGAGTGTTGGTCTAACTCCAAAGCGCATCAACTCTTGGAATCGGTTCACTTCACTTAACATAGGTTCGAGGAAGATGATATGAGGATCTATCCCCAATTCTTATTGGGCTTCCCTAGCTTCTCCTCGAAAGATTCAACACCCCCATGCTAAAGTAGTATTTGTATTGACTTAACTTTGTTCGGGAAGGGTAACTTTTTACTGGAGTTTCTGTTTCTACAACATCATCAATTGTTTGAATTGCATTGCGTGGTGAGCTCCTCACATTTTCAACTGATTTATTTGAAACAAAATTTTTTTTCCACCAAGCCAGGTTCCAGTAGTTTGACTTTGAACTCTTGGAAACTAATATTAAAAACACACAAAACAACTTAAAGAAAATAACTGAAGAGAGAGAACTGGAAACTAAAACAATTGTAAGAGAGATCGAAAGAAAACAAAACTTCCCTGTCGTTTCTCTCCTAAGGATTTCACTGTTTTAATGACCTATTTGATGTTTCAGCAATAGTTTAGGGGTAAAACTAAATATTAACATTTTTTATTAACATTGCCACGTCATCAATTTAACAAAATTGATGGTGGAGTGACTATTTTATTACAAATAGATAATATTAATGATCAATTTGTAACTTTTAAAACTTCAGTGAAAAAATAAAAACTTACTCAAATATTAATGACCATTTTTAATTAAATGGTTTTGGTTGCTGAGCTCAAGTTGATATTCATTCGCGCCCTATTTGTCTTGTTTGTGGGTTGGGACTTGGGGCGGGTAGTTCATAAAAAAGTAAAATTTTCCCCACAAACTTGACACCAAAACGCAGGTAATGGATAGCCTTTTGTCTATCCTCACCTCACACTGTCACCCACCTTTGTTCACCTCAAATCCCCACACTTCCTCCGCCACCACCTCCGTTTCCTTCTCACTCCAACCGCCACCTCAACCGGCCGAACCTAACCCCCGTCACTCGAAGCCCACCACTTCCTCCTAAACCCCAAATCCCTTCCAACCCCTAAAAAACCTCTCAACTACTAACAGTAACAGCAATCTTTCTCATTTTCCTTCTCCCGGTGAAAATACAACAATATCCCAATATCTCGTTTCCAAACTTTGCCTATCCAGTAAGCTCTTTCCCCCTCCTCCACCACCACCACTTCTTCATGATACCCAGAAGGCAACTCAAGTTTCTGAGCCCGAAGCTCCGACCCCAGAGCCTGAAAAGCCTGAAAATTTCTGCCAACATGGGAAGATTTTCATTGGGAACCTTCCCAATTGGATTAAGAAACTTGAGGTTTCTGAATTCTTCCACCAGTTTGGTCCCATAAAGGACGTAATTCTGATCAAAGCACACAATGAGACTCACAGAAATGCGGGTTTCGGGTTTGTCATTTATGGGGGTGCGCCTCCGGTAGCTGAGAAGATGAAGGGCCAATTCCTTCCCTTAGGCTACACACAAACCTTGTTTCAGCGACTTCATACGTTGAGGCAGGGCGCACGATCAGTCGATGATTACACGGAGGAGTTTTTATTCATTTTGATAACTTGAGCTTTTCCCATATTGAATATTTCACTACCACCAACTTAGAATCCATATTGTATTTTTCTCCCCATAAACCATAAGGACCCTAAGATCAAGAGTGTCGGTCCAACTCCAAAGCGCATCAACTCTTGGAACCGGTTCACTTCACTTAATATAGGTTCGAGAAAGATGATATGAGGATCTATCCCCAATGCTTGTTGGGCTTCCCTAGCTTCTCCTCGAAAGATTCAACACCCCCATGCTAAAGTAGTATTTGTATTGACTTAACTTTGTTCGGGAAGGGTAAATTTTTACTGGAGTTTCTGTTTATACAACATCATCAATTGTTTGAATTGCATTGCGTGGTGAGCTCCTCACATTTGCAACTGATTTATTTGAAACAACATTTTTTTCCACCAAGCCAGGTTCCAGTAGTTTGACTTTGAACTCTTGGAAACTAATATGAAGAACACACCAAACAACTTAAAGAAAAGAACTGAAGAGAGAGAACTGGAAACTAAAACAATTGTAAGAGAGATCAGAAGAAAACAAAACTTCCCTGTCGTTTCTCTCCTAAGGATTTCACTATTTTAATGACCTATTTGATGTTTCAGCAATAGTTTAGGGGTAAAACTAAATATTAAATTTTTTTGTTAACATTGCCACGTCATCAATTTAACAGAATTGATGATGGAGTGACTATTTTATTACAAATAGATAATATTAATGATCAATTTGTAATTTTTGAAACTTCAGTGAAAAAATAAAAAACTTACAATTTTAATGACCATTTTTAATTAAATGGTTTTGGTTGTTGAGCTCAAGTTGATATTCATTCGCGCCCTATTTGTCTTGTTTGTAGGTTGGGACTTGGGGTGGGTAGTTCATAAAAAAGTAAAATTTTCCCCCCCAAACTTGACACCAAAACGCAGGTAATGGATAACCTTTTGTCTCTCCCCACCTCACACTGTCACCCACCTTTGTTCACCTTAAATCCCCACACTTCCTCCGCCACCACCTCCATTTCCTTCTTACTCCAACAACCACCTCAACTGGTCGAACCTAACCCCCGCCACTCGAAACCCACCACTTCCCCCTAAACCCCAAATCCCTTCCAACCCCTCAAAAACCTCTCAACTACTAGCAGTAACACCAATCTTTCTCATGTTCCTTCTCCCGGTGAAAATAAAACAATCTCCCAATCTCTCGTTTCCAAACTTCGCATATCCAGCAAGCTCTTTCCCCCTCCTCCACCACCACCACTTCTTCATGATACCCAGAAGACAACTCAAGTTTATGAGCCCGAAGCTGAGGCTGAAAAGCCTAAAAATTTCCGCCAACATGGGAAGATTTTCATTGGGAACCTTCCCAATTGGATTAAGAAACATGAGGATTTTGAATTCTTCCGCCAGTTTGGTCCCATAAAGGACGTCATTCTGATCAAAGCACACAACGAGACTCACAGAATCGTGGGTTTCGGGTTTGTCATGTACGGGGGTGCGCCTCCGGTAGCTGAGAAGATGAAGGGCCACTTCCTTCCATTCGGCTATACATAAACCTTGTTTCAGTGACTTCATACGTTGAGGCAGGGCGCACGATCAGTCGATGATTACAAGGAGGAGTTTTTGTTCATTTTGATAAGTTGTGCTTTTCCCATATTGAATATTTCACTACCACCAACTTAGAATCCATATTGTATTTTTCTCCCCATAAACCATAAAGACCCTAAGATCAAGAGTGTGGGTCCAACTCCAAAGTGCATCAACTCTTGGAACCGATTCACTTCACTTAACATAGGTTCGTGGAAGATGATATAAGGATCTATCCCCAATGCTTCTTGGGCTTCCCTAGCTTCTCCTGAAAAGATTCAACATCCCCATGCTAAAGTAGTATTTGTATTGACTTAACTTTGTTCGGTAAGGGTAACTTTTTACTGGAGTTTCTGTTTCTACAACATCATCAATTGTTTGAATTGCATTGCGTGGTGAGCTCCTCACATTTGCAACTGATTTATTTGAAACAACATTTTTTTCCACCAAGCCAGGTTCCAGTAGTTTGACTTTGAACTCTTGGAAACTAATATGAAGAACACACCAAACAACTTAAAGAAAATAACTGAAGAGAGAGCACTGGAAACTAAAACAATTATAAGAGAGATCGGAAGAAAACAAAACTTCCCTGTCGTTTCTCTCTTAAGGATTTCATTATTTTAATGACCTATTTGATGTTTCAGCAATAGTTTAGGGGTAAAACTAAATATTAACATTTTTTGTTAACATTGCCACGTCATCAATTTAACAGAATTGATGGTGGAGTGACTATTTTATTACAAATAAATAATATTAATGATCAATTTGTAATTTTTGAAACTTCAGTGAAAAAATAAAAACTTACTCAAATATTAATGACCATTTTTAATTAAATGGTTTTGGTTGCTGAGCTCAAGTTGATATTCATTCGCGCCCTATTTTTCTTGTTTGTGAGTTGGGACTTGGGGCGGGTAGTTCATAAAAAAGTAAAATTTTCCCCACAAACTTGACACCAAAACGCAGGTAATGGATAGCCTTTTGTCTCTCCCCACCTCACACTGTCACCCACCTTTGTTCACCTCAAATCCCCACGCTTCCTCCGCCACCACCTCCGTTTCCTTCTCACTCTAACCGCCACCTCAACCGGCCGAACCTAACCCCCACCACTTGAAGCCCACCACTTCCCCCCTAAACCCCAAATCCCTTCCAACCCCCTCAAAAACCTCTCCACTACTAGCAGTAACAACAATCTTTCTCATGTTCCTTCTCCCGGTGAAAATACAAGAATCTCCCAATCTCTCGTTTCCAAACTTCGCCTATTCAGCAAGCTCTTTCCCCCCTCCTCCTCCACCATCACTTCTTCATGATAACCAGAAGGCAACTCAAGTTTATGAGCCCGAAGCTCCGACCCCAGAGCCTGAAAATCCTGAAAATTTCTGCCAACATGGGAAGATTTTCATCGGGAACCTTCCATTTTGGATTAAAAACATGAGGTTTCTGAATTCTTCCGCCAGTTTGGTCCCATAAAGGACGTCATTCTGATCAAAGCACACAGTGAGACTCACAGAAACGTAGGTTTTGGGTTTGTCATATACGGGGGTGCGCCTCCGGTAGCTGAGAAGTCGACTGTGAAGGTGGTTGAGTTTGATGGGGTTGAGTTTCATGGGAGAGTCTTGACGGTGAAGTTGGATGACGGGACAAGGTTGAAAGGAAAAGCAGAGGAGAGGGCCATATGGGTTGAAGGGTATGAAGGTCAAGACTTGAATAATAAGTCTAAGTGGCATCAAGAGAGGGAGGGGTCCCGGAAGTTGTTTCGAAAAGTTTTGGATTCGGAATCGAAAAATTGGCAGAAGGTCGTTACTACTTTTGAGAGGATTGACAAAGTGACTTGCTTCATTTTATCAACCTTAGATACTTGTTCATGTTTGGTTATCTCCTGAGAACATAATGTTGCAAAAAAGTGACATGTTTCAATATAAGAAAATACTACCTCTTAGCAGGAAACAATGTTGAGAAACTAAGCTATGCATTATTGAAACTTCTGAATATTTTAAACAACTTAAAGATCTCCGAAGTTCCAATTTCAAGGAGATTTTATTTGATTTGAACAGAATTTGATTTTTTCCCCTTTCATTTTGGTCATTTTGCTTTTCTTTTCAGCCTTCTAGACGAGAGTTTGGATAGATGGTGAACTATTATGCAAGACGAGGGGATATGCAGACATTTGAGAAGATGAGAGCAAGGGGAATAGAACCAACCTCACACGTCTATACAAAGTATGTATCATTAATGAAATTATCCTTGCCTTATGTCGAATCTTCTCAATGCTAGTTGGTTTGATTCTGGGTTTCTGAACGTCTTAGAAAATGAGCTCTGTTTTCTCAAACGCTCCTGTAGTTTAGCTGTGTTAATATCATAGGGTTTAAGTCATGTTATTCATTGATTGTTTTCTAAAGATCCACATTGAGGGCCAAGCTGCTTTATCTGCAAGCTTAGAAAAGACTTTCCTTGTGTAGAAATTGTTATTAGCTTCATTATTAATGCATCTCAGATGGTTTTATTGTTTATTCATTTTTCTTACAACCTTTTTAACAGTAATCTCTATCATAGAGGTTTGTTTACCTTTATCTTTATACAATTGATTTCCAGAAGTTTTAAGGGTAAATTTTATATATTGTTCTTTATCAGACATTAAGGTTGTTTATGTCATGCAGCCTTATTCACGCTTATGCAGTTGGCAGAGACATGGAAGAAGCCTTATCATGTGTTAGGAAAATGAAGGAAGAGGGCATTGAAATGACTGTTGTGACATACAACATACTTGTTGGAGGATTTGCCAAAGTTGGCAATTCTGAGTAAGTAACCATTTCAGTACATCTATTCTTTCTTTGTCTGTTTCCCCCTTTCTTTTGCTTTTGAGTGTTTGGTTCATGAATTAATGTTTTTGAGTCATTGTGTCTGTTTTCTTAGGACCTTAGCCATTTACTATTTTTCGGAAGGTTGCTGAAATTTATGTGCTTTCTAAGATAGTTTACAATGTATTTGACAACGTTAAATATCATTAGGCATGCTCTCAGATTAAAAGAAATCTTTTGATGTAAAATGAAAAGAAAAACTGATAATTTCTTTGAAAGTTAAATAAGGTTTCCTATTTGACAAGTGTTAACTGATCCATCTCACATCAATTAAGTGTTGACTTCCCTGTATTCAATATAAATCCCTCCACTTATTACGAAACGGTTTTAGGTTGGATACTTATCAGTAACGAATCAAGAGGATGCAAAATTTTCCTTTGCAAGTACATGCGTTCAATGTTCTTGTGTTTGAATGGACTTATCTGGTTAAAGTATCATGTATCTTTTGCATCTTGCTTGCATTTTTTAAATAATTTTCATTTGTAAAGTTGTGGTAGACTAATGAAAGTTTGTTCTGGGAACTTTATAGTCATTATGGGTCTATGAAATTGTCAATGGCTAACATGAGTATATTTGCTTCGTCTTGAGCTAATATCCTGTGTCATTTGAAAGAGCTGCAGATTATTGGTTTGAGGAGGCGAAAAAGATACATACACATCTGAATGCAATCATTTATGGGAACATTGTTTATGCTCATTGGTACTTAGTAAAAGCTTGGCTTATTTCATCTCTTGTTTTTATTCAGACTGTGTGTGTAATGTGTGTGTGTGTATATATATACACAGATTTTTCGGGACGAAGATAAAACTGAGACTTATATACACACACAACTTCAGCTATCTTATATTTTCTTATCATGTTCGAATTAGCAGGTTTCGGTAAAATTTCCTAGTAATCTCTTGTGGACCAATGTGATATCTTATAGATTTTGTTGGTTTAATGTTCTTTGAGATTCGTGTGCTGTGGAGTTTTTTTATGGCCACAATTCCAAAAATCAATGTTAATTAGCCTAGTGTAAAATTTTGGAGCGCTTTCTAGTTAAACCCTTTCCCTGTGAGTTAAGCCTTAGTGAAACATGTTCAGTATGCACGATGTTAGTGTTTGTAGGCAGGATAGGAATTAGATGTCAAAATTTATCCTTTTCATGTAGAGGTCAATGAAAGATTGTCCGCAATTATGAGTCTAGTTAGCGATGACCTGGTTTTGTAGGCGTCTAGATTCCATACACTATTCACTAAGTCTTCTAGGGTAATATTGTTGTTATATCATAAAAGCTTTTTTAAATATGAGTTTAAATTGTTATATTAAATTGTTATCTTTCCTCCCAACGTAGCATGCTAAGTATCCTATTTTCTATCATGTTTCTAGTTTCTACGGCTGGCTATCTCCGTAATTTTTCTCTTCTATTTCTCAAGGCTTCTTATTTTTGTTGTCATGATCATCTTCACTATAGGCAAAATCTTGATTCCATAATTTGCTTTTGCAGTCAAGCATGCAATATGGAGCGGGCTGAAGCATTGGTTAGAGAAATGGAGGAAGAAGGTATAAGTGCCCCTATTGAAATTTACCATACAATGATGGATGGCTACACAATGATTGGCAATGAAGAAAAATGCTTGATTGTGTTTGAAAGGCTTAAGGTAAAAGCTCTTTTCATATGTTTCTTGTAAAGTTTTCCAAACACATGGAATTTAGAAATTATGAGAACTGAGAGCCAAGTAGATAAAAATTTGGTTTCATAACCTAGTCTTAATCTTTTCTCTATTTACACCCTCGAGGAAAAGAAAAGGCCATTGCACTCTGATAATTTGGGCGTTGTATTTTGGTACTGGTTTAACCGCTATGGTCAAATTTTCAAGTTTTGCTTTGTGTTTGGACAGTAGTACCCTAACATTCATGATCACATAGAGGAGGAAAAGTTTTTCTATTTTGAAGGATGAATCAAGAAAAAGAAAATTAAGGATTTGGGTTGTTTGAGAGAAGCTCCACCTTCGCTCTACAAATCAGGCGTTTTAGAAATTTTTTGTCTTTATTCCTTTTCTTTTCATTTTTGATGGCGAGTAAAGTGAGAAGATCAGTTGGAAAAAATTGTGTCACAGTGATCATTTTTAACATTCCAAAGTGTCTTCATCACCAAGGTCTCTGGTTATTTTTCGATAAATATGGCGAGGTAGTGGATTCTTTCATCCTTAATAAAAGAAGTAAGGGAGGTAGTAGGTTTGGCTTTGTTCGTTTCACCACACTCGAGGACACGAGAAAGGCTATCAACTGTGTGGATAGATCTTGGATTCAAGGTAACAAAGTTAGAGTTTTCATGGCGAGATATCATCCTCGTGATGTTTTCTGGAGGAATAAGTTCTCTGATCCATATCCAGTCGAGGGTAAGAGTTTAGTGGAGGATGCTAGTCATACTGAGGCTCCCATTGTTGGTTCTGTTGACGAGGATAAGCTCTCAACTCTCAAAGACAACATGGTAGGATGGTGCAGAAATTTTATTAAGATGAAAGAGTTGGCTGCTATTTTGCACAAGGAAGGCATTGTTGGTCCGAAGATTATGAGATTAAACGGGCTTGCAATTTTAATCTTATTTGAAGACGCAGAGAGTAGGGACTTTACTCTACATAATCAGATTGGGGCGTTCAATAAATGTTTCGACATAGTGGAAGTTAGGTCGAAAGATTTTAAGTGCAGCAGCTGTCGAGCATGGCTTTCGTGCAAAGGGATCCCTCCGTTTGTGTGGAATCTCTCCACCTTCAGAAATATTGCACTCAAATGGGGAGTTCTTATATCCATTGAGGAAGGGACCTTAAATAATGGCTCTTTTGATAGGGCTTTGCTTCAGATCATCACGAACAATCAAACTTGATTGGAAGAATCCATTGTTTTGAAAGTTGTGAATAGGCTCTTCAAAGTGCATGTTTCCGAGTTTGAGCCGTGTTTCAGCCCAGAATCTGTCTGGATTGATTCGTCTTCGATGGAAGAGGCAGATGCCTCCCCATTATCCAAGTTGGGGGAGATCATTGGTGTCTCCCCAGTTAAGTATCCCGAGTTGGAGGTTTGTGCTGAGGAAGAAGGAAGAAATGAGATCTCATCGGAGGTGAAGATTCCCGAGAGGTGTTATGTGAAAGATGACAGTGTTTTATGTTGTATGGGGAGTAGTACTTGTGGCAGCCTATTGTCGGGTGAGGGCGAGGAGGATAGGAACATAGGTGAGGATATGATGATGGGTCTGATGAGTACCGTTGCGGGTCAGGGGATGTTTTAATCACAAATAGAGGAAGTGGGGGAACACGAGACAGTGCTGGAACACGCGGAGAGAGAGGCAGTGGATGTCTATAATGAAAGTTGTTTGTCTGCACGTGTTAATGAGGGGATCAAGGATTATTTAATTGATTTTCCCATCCTGGATGGTCGTTTAACATCAAGAGATATGGAGGATGGGAGTATTATGGGCCTTTCAAATGAGGAACTATTGGTTCACGCGACAAGAGAGAAAGAAGATGTCTACAGGAAAAGTTGTGAGCATGTACTTGCTTTAGAGGGTTCGAAGGATTATTTTAAAGATTTTCCTATGTTGGATGGTCGATGTGAGTTAAAGGTGGTGGAAGATGAGTTTAATGAGGGCCTTATGAATATTTGCGCATTCAAAAACCCCAAGGGTAAGGCCAGGCAGAACAAGAGACCTAAGGAGGGGTTTGACAAAAAATATAACTTCGTCCAAACTTTTCAAGAGAATATTAAGGCTCCCCAACGGAAGTCTAGAGGCTATCGATGCAAGAGCAATCAGAGTAAGGCGCAACAAGATGAAGAGGTGTCTGAACTTGAAGGCTCACGAGTGTTTCTGATTTCGGAACAATATATCGATGAAAGGATTGTAAGATACAATTTGTAGTTAATAATTTTTGGGGACTTGAATTTGATTTGAGTTTGGAGTTGAAGGTTCGAATGGTCTTCGATGTCAAGTGAGTAATTAGTGGTTGATTGGCGCTATTATATTTGGCTTTTTTATAGTTGTATTGTGTTGTATTTGGGGCTAATTTTTGGCTTTTTATCTGGTTAGTTATTTAGAGTTGTTGGTAAATGTGTAATTGGCAGCAAGGTATGAGCTGGGTTTGGGTTTGCTCAGCTATTGTTTTGTGTGCTCGTGGAGCAGCAGGGTATGGGTGATGGGGAATCGACCTGCAAGTGGGATACAGGGCTGCTGGGCGTTGGGTCTTGGGACGTAGCAAAATGGTATGGGCATCAGCCATCTTCACGTGGGTGGCATGAGCACTAGTATGGGCAGGATTAAAATATGTTTATTGGGTGTTGTTTGCCTTAACTTTTTGTAATCTTTTACTGGGTGCTATTTACTGGGCACGTGGTGTGGTCGGGTTATTATTGTAAGGGGTTTGTAAGTCTTATCTTTATGTAATCTTTTAATATTAATGAATTTTGAGACACTCTTTTCCTCCTTCCGCTGATTAAGGAACATCGTTTGGTGTTCCATTAATTATTAAGGGGTTTTTTAATAAGGCCTCCACTTCCTATAAAAAAAGAAAAAGAAAAAAAAATTAAGCTGATATATGAAATAACGGTAAATTACCGTAAAAGCTAGAGAATAGGAAAAAACAATTCTCTCGACAATTGTTCTTGAATTCACGGGAGTACAGGCCTGTTTTTATACAATTCATGGAATTAGTTTACTACTAGAACTAGACTACCTTGTAGAGTCTTACTCTAATACAATATGCTAATTATTAGGATTAAAATTATAATTAGAATTAATCTAGGAAACCTATTTTGTTTTATAGAAGTTGGAGGTCTCATTAAAAACTCCCTTCATTTTATTCCACATACTTAGAAGTATGTTGAAGAACATTGGAAGGGAGAAAAGAGTGCCTCATATTTTATTGAATAGAATACCAAGTACATGTGGTAACACCAAACCCTCATACGGGAATATACACCAATACAAACCATATCTACTAGAAATATTACATCGTCAAACAAAAAGCCCATAAAACAATAACCCTATTTATAAAATACACCTCAAGATGTAAGATAACATAGCAAAATAAAAACCAACAATTACAACAACAAACTTAAAACCGCCTTTGAATACAACTGCCAAACAATCACAATCCAATTGGAGGTTCAAGTTCTAAAGAAATATCGTAATCTTCAGGGACCCAATAATTAGGTTTAAAGGAAGAATCAACTTCATGCACCAAGATTTTGAATAAATGATCCCCAACCTTCAACTCCAACAACTCATTAATTCTCCCTTGAGCATTTGTGAGTATTTGAATTTTCGCCCAATCAAAAGATGAAGGGAACTCACAACTGTTATCAATTGCTATTAACTTGCCCCACTTAGTAGCCATGTTTTTGAAAGTATTCCAATTCCAAGTAGGGGTGTAAACGAGCCGAGTCGAGCTCGAGTATTGCTGAGCTCGACTCGACTCAAAAACTCTGAAATAGAGCTGGACTCGACTCGAAAGCTCACGAGCTTAAAATTTTTAAGTTCGACTCCAACTCGAAATCTTGAACTGAAGCTCGTGAGCAGCTCGAAAAGGCTCGAAATGAAAAAAAATCTTAAACTTAACAAGATTGAATCCTCAAACTCGAACTCGAACCTGAACCTTAAATACATGAAACCCTTATTGTATTTTTTTAAAAAAAATCAACACATAAATGTTAATATTATTAATAATTTATTTTTAAAAAATAAAATCTTAATATATTATATTTTCGAGCTGCTCACGAGTTTTTCGAGTCGAGTATCAAGTAGCTCGTTTCGGCTCATTAAGAATTCGAGTCGAGCTCAAGTTCGAGTCGAGTCCATTCGATCCGAGTATTTATCGAGCCTTGACCGAGTCGATCTCGAGTAGCTCGCGATCTGTCTCATCTCATTTACGGCCCTAATTCCAAGCGTGAAAAGAAATACCTTCGCAAACTAACCAAACGCGCCGGCTCTCCACCATAAGGCTCTCAGACCAAGTTTCCACTATGGAAAACCATTCTACAAGAGTATATAACTTATCATTCTTCACGTTTCTCAACGAATCAGAATCTTCAAAAACCATTAGAACTACATTTCCAGCAGCTCTCATAAACGTGAAACCCGCTAGTCCTTTGGCTTGTATTTGGTTAGCAAGATTACCAATCTTGATAAAGTTCTTACACCACCCCACAAGACAGTTAGACAACACTTAAAGTTTATGTACATCCACAGCACCCTCAACTTTACAGTGTTTAATCGTCGGAAAAACTTTCATCCCAGACTTACTTTGAACAACTTTTGAGTACTTTTGCCAGTAAGACTGTTGGGGTTTATATTTAGCCAAAGATACTCTAATTTTATTACCGTAAATATGATAACCGTTCATCTTAGAAATCATTGTCCTTGTTTCTTCAATTGTAGCAAAGCGAATAAACCCAAAACGAATCCCATTTGAGTTTCTTTTTTTGGGAATGAAGGCATCAATAACTTGACCATGTGAGCCAAATATGGATCCAAGCCTCTTCCAATGGATCTTCTCTGGAAAGTTTTCGATAAAAATCGTGTAACAACCCTTTCTGGACCAATTTCAGAAATCTGGTTGGCCTTCTTTCGACCAATTATGAAACCCATTTCTTCTCATTCCCACTACTTCAG